TGTTGTGTCAAGGTCACCCGGCTGGGAGAAAAAGGCATCTGCATACCAAGCTAGACCATTCTCAAAACATCTTGCATGGATTTGATTAGTTGGAGGTGGGCAGTGATGGGAGGGAAAAATTGAACTCAGGGATTTGGTCGCGCAATTCTCAATTCTGCTTTTGCATAGCTGCAACAAATGGAGCCAAGAATCGTTTCTATTTAGAGGTTTAAGTTGCAGCAAGTCTGCCCTAGTCCTCGATTTATGACCATTTGTTCAAAAGTTTGAAGTTACAAGGGCACTGAGAAAAGTCATTTACAACCAGTCCTCGCACTTACAACTGTCACAGCAACTGATCACTGGTCCTCGTACTTCTGACCGTCACGTGGTTAAAAAATGGAGGTGTATAGCAACTGACATGTATTTATGACGGTTTCAGGATCCTAGAATTCTTAATTGCCTTTTGTGCCTGTTCTGGCCCACCAGCGGCCTGTGCGGATCGTGGCTGATCCCGACGAGGAGGAGGCTGGCGTAGGGTCGCGCCAGTAGCCTGTGCAGCTGGCACTTACGTTGGACAGCAAGGAGGCTGAAGAGGATGTGGTGCCAGAGGCAGAGACTCAGCCAGGGCCTTCAGAACCTCCAGAGGCTCCTTCAAGTGGAGAGAGGGAAGTGGAGGAGCCTCTCCTCAATGCTCGAGCACGCAGGGCTGCCAAAAGGCAGGAGTGGTTACTCAAGAGGAGGTGGACTCCTCGAGAGTAAGTTTTGAGGATAATTGGCCACTCCCTTAGCCCATTTAAGTCGCACCCAGTTAGTAATTTCTTGCTGGAAACAACGTGTAATTATTACAGAGCATTTTGGAGAGTGAGTGTCTTATCGTATCTTGTTTTCTGGGCTGGTTGCCAACCTTTGCCGGACTTTGTTTATTCTTGGTACATTATAACTTTGATAAGGACCGTTGGTGTGTGTCACAATCCTTGGGAATCCGGAGCTGGGGCAGAACAGTGCCCTTCCCGGATGGCTTCTGACAAGTAAAGTCAATGGGTGAGGGGGGTGAGCTGGATTCCTTTAACAGCTGCAAGTTTCACTTAACAACTGCAAGTTTCACTTAGCGAACACAGCAAAAAGGTCATAAAATTGGGCATGGCTCACTTAACATCTACCTTGCTTAGCAACAGAAATTCTGGTTGTAGAATGTGGTCGTAAGTCGAGAACTACCTATATCCCTTTTCTGTCACCGCATCCGCTTTTGGGAATAATATTCCCCCAGATAACAATTTCGCTCCCCAGTTACATAATGTTTCCTATTAACTATTTCTTAGCTGTAAGCCTTGAGGAAGCATTTTGCAATCAGCCAGCTTCTAAATATAATAAATAATAATAGTGTCAACAACAATTGCTGTTCCCCTCTTTTTATGTTTAGTTTCAGATTTTTAAGAAAGGCAATTTTGGATTTAAGAGTTCAGATGAATCCCGGGAGGCTGGGCTGCATTTCTCTCTGCAAGTCCTATTATACGTGTTTGTGTGTGTGATTGTGTTTGCGGGTTTATGTAAAAGATAAGGAAAAGTGCAACCAAACAAGTGCAGAGAACCTCCCGCTCCTAATCACAGGCAAATTATTATGATTTTTAAATGCATGAAATAAAGGTAATCCTCGGTTTATAACCATTAGTTTTGGCTCTTCAAAATTACAGTGGCACTGAAAAAAGTGACTTATGAATTTTTTCACACTTACAACTGTTGCAGCATCCCCAGGATTGTATGATCAATATTTGGACCTTTGGCAGCTGGCATATATTTGTGATCCCCTTTTGCGATCTTCCAACCAGCAAAGTTAGTGGAGAAGCCGGATTCACTTAACAACCCTGTTACTAACAACAGCTTGCAGGGATTCGCTTAACAACTGTGGCAAGAAAGATTGCAAAATGGGGCAAAAGTCACTTTAACAACTGTTTCGCTTAGCAACGGAAAGTTTAGGTTCAATTGTGGCCTTAAATAGAGGACTGCCTGTATTGCTTGCATGAACTGTATGGGAGAAATGAAATTGCACCTGTGACTTCCATCCCAGGAAGACAGGACACAACGGCTAAAGTCAGTGCAGTCCTAAAACCCTCAAAAATTCAGTTCAGAAACTTACCACTGCCTTTGCTCAGCACTGGCATGAAATAAAGCCATTTCTGAACCGTTCTGCCCTCCCTTCGCTTTTTTTTTTTTTTTTGGAGTAGTTCAAGATCTTATTTCTAGGAAGATGAAAAGGTGATAAATTTAATTGCCTGATTTATGCACCCCGTTTCCTTTTGATTCATTTCTTTCCAGGTGCCTGACATGCACATGTTCTCTTCCCTTTGCGAAGCCAATTTTCTTTCGGTTCATTACTTTGGCACGCTGCACATGGCACAGGGTAATTGTGTATAATAGATTTGGGCAAAGCCTAATTTCAGTTTCTTCCTGCTTGGATATGCCCATCGCATGAGGTAGCTCCAAAAGGCGTTGGCCACCAAGGTTAATGTGTAGATGTGGCTATTTCTGCACACAAAAAGGGTGTGTCTCTTCACACCATAGGCTCACTCCACATCCTTTGGTGGCACACTATGTTGTTAGCTGTGTTCCACTTCTGAATTCCCAGAAATATGACACAATTTCCAAAGAGAGCAGGGAGAAAATAACTAAATCCCACTCTTTCAAGATCTGGTTGGACTTGAAAAATTAAGCAGGACAGGAACTGGTTAATCCTCGGATGGGAGGCCACTATGAAATCCCAAGAGGGAAAAATCAAGAGAACAGTGCAGCTGAAATAACAAGCAAAGGGCTTTCATTCGGCTACCAAAAACAAAACAAAAAAAAAATTACAGGAATATGTATTTAAAACAATATTTCTCAAGCATGGGAACTTTAAAAGGCATGGACTTCAACTCCCAGAATTCCACACCCAGCTTGGCTGGTTGAGGAATTCTGGGAGTTGAAGTCCACACCTCTTAAAGTTGAGAAACACTGCTCTAAAAACACCAGGAGAAATTTGGCCCAAATATTTTATTTACCTACCAAAAAAACTCTCAAACAAGCTTCTCCTTTACTTCTCTGGTCTAAATTGGTGTGTGCCACTTCTCCTGATTTGAGACTTGGGGTCTGATTGAAGTTTCCGATATTAGGGGCTCCCACAGACCAGCTGGAATTTTGGGCTTAGCAAAATGTGATGGAGACAAACAAGGCTAGTTTTTTTGACTGAGACGTTTAAGCATTCATTCACTGGAAAGGGTGTGTGTGTGTGTGTGTGTGTGTGTGTGTGTGTGTGTGTGTCTGGTGGAAAAGTACTTGCACTTTGGTTATCAAGCCAGTTCGCCCAGAGGAAAATATTTAACACATGGATACTGTGTGTTTCTGTGCCTATGTTGTGTGTGTGTGAATATACCGGTATGTACATTAAATACAAGAAAAGTATTTTGCGCGGAATTAAAAGACTACAAAAACATAAAAAGAAATGTTGGAAAAAAAGAAAGATATGAAAAAGTGACACAAAAAAAATGAAAGAAAAGGCTAAGAAAAATATATATCTGAAGATAAAAATAAAGAAGCGATTTCTAATCTTCTTTGCAATTGCAAATGGCATCATGATTGCCATTTTCCTAAATTACATACCACCGTTTCCTTCTTCCCATAAACAACCCTTTTTAATCACTAAATCTCCAAATCACCACTTCATTTCTGCCATCTTCAGCCAAAAAAAAAAAAAAAAAAAATGGTTAAAAAGGTTTTCCAGTCTTTTATAAAAGTACAATTGCTGTTCCCTCCTTAATCAAACTGGTCACCTCTGCCATTTCTGCAAACTCAGCCACCTTCACCATCTAGCCTTCCATTGCGGTTATTTCTGTATTCTTCCATCTTTGTGCATACAATAAACTCACTGCAGCTAGTATATGAAACCAATTGTACACGGATCTTTTCTAGAACTTTCCCGTAGTTTCATGGATTGAAATGGCCCAGGAAGAAATGCAAAGGGTTGCAGAAAAAGGAGAGAGAGAAGGAGAGAGAGAGACAGACAGACAGAGGGACAGAGACAGGCAGAAGGAGGGAGGGAGGGAAAGAGAGAGAGAGAGAGAGAGAGGGAGAGAGAGAGGGAAGGATGATCTGTGTTGCAGAGAGTTAAAAGGAATTTCTTGAGTTGTGGAAAAAATTGCAATTTGGATGGTATATTTGGAAGGAGGAGAAGGTTTTATTTAAAGAAGTACTAAACATGAGCAAATAAAAAAAAAACTCCTTTTTTTGAAGTCTGGATCAAGTAAGATTCTCTAGCTTGTAATATGATAGGAAATATTTGCTTCAGATCTGCCTCCTCTCTATCACTTTTCTGTGAAGGTCTGTTTGGGAATGTTCTCCTTTTCTCAGCATAGTCTACCTTACCAAGACGTTGGGAGAGTTCAAATGTTTACAAGTGTAGCCCTCGACTTATGACCACAATAGGTATCATAAAATTCAGAGACCTTCTTTCTTTGTAGCCAGCCTCCATTTTATTTCCAGTGTCTTTCTCCCAGCTTGGAGGACTTGAGGACTCGCTCAGCAGCGGAAATTTTGGGCTGAGTTGAGGACTATCTCTAGTCACCAAGGCCTCTGTGAAGTCTGGTATGAACAAGTGGAAAATGAGTATGATGAAAATATTTGAAATACATCCTCATGGGGGATTACTAATGTACTGTGCATGAATTGAGTTATCCTAATGCGTCACTATTGGAGAAACAACTGAACGACTAATGTGGCTTTTTTCCCCCTTCTCATCTCACATATTATTTTGACAACTGAGTCATTCCTTTCCTTCCTTTCCCGACTCCTGGTTGGTGTGATTGCCTGCCACCTTCCGTCCTGCAAAAACACGGTTTATTTTAATGTGGTTTGTTTGGAATTCAAATCAAACACCTTTCATTAGAGTTCCGTGTGCATATTTGCTGCCATCTACTGGTGAATTCTCGGTCCTGCAGGTGAAACAATTAACCCTCTATTCGCCGTCTCATCTCAATCTTTTTCTTTTTCAGATACACCTATGAGGATTATAAGAGGACGGCAGATTGGCTCCTGAGTAAAACCAAGCATCGCCCCCGAGTGGCTATCATCTGTGGCTCAGGGCTTGGGGGCCTGGCTGACCTCCTGAAGGACCAAGTGGTGTTTGATTATGCTAAGATACCCAACTTTCCCCAAAGCACAGGTAATGGGAGATGGCCAGGGAGTGTACCGTATTTTTCGGAGTACAAGACGCACCTTTTCCCCTCAAAAAAGAGGGTGAAAATCTGGGTGCGTCTTATATTCCGAATGTAGCCCCGCCTAGCTTCTCAAATAGAGGTTTCAGAGGCTGAAAAAAGCATCAGAAAAGAAGCTTCAGAAAAGAAGCTCCCAAATAGAGTTTTTTTTTTTTTTAATTTGATTTATATGCCGCCCTTCTCCGAAGACTCAGGGCGGCTTACAATGTGCTCAGCAATAGCCTTCATCCTTTTGTATATTTATACAAAGTCAGCTAATTGCCCCCACAGACTGGGTCCTCATTTCACCTACCTTAGAAAGGATGGAAGGCTGAGTCAACCTTGAGCCTTGGCGAGATTCGAACCCTGCAGTAATTGCAGGCAGCTGGTCTTAATAACCAACTTAATAACAGGGTGCCTTAAACCTCTGTACTACCAAGGCTCTTGTGTTGTGTAGAAATGAACAGGTTGACACTAAGAATAAAAGATAAAGAGGAATCGGTGTATTTCAAGACATGGGAAAGATTCTACGTATGGATAGAAAAGAAATATGAATAAAAGTTGATAGATAAATGATATAGATAATAGAAAGTTAAATGAGGGATAAGATAAAAAAGAAACAGGATCTCAGTTGACACCAAAGTAAATGGAAAAGGGGGATGGGGGGGAAGAAAGAAGATTATAAATATAAATGTACAATTATGAAATGATAGATTGGGTAAAATGGGAAAGAAATTGAAAAGAAAGTATATATTATTAGAAAATTAGAGTTGCTCGGATACCAAATAAGGGAAATATTGCACAACAAAGGAGAAAGAAAGGAAAGAGGAGGAGAGGGAGAGAGGAGGAGAGGGAGAGAGAGGAATGGAAGAAAGGTGAAGGAGAGGAAGAAAGGATAGTGGACAAGAGTAGGAGAGAAGTTGAGAAAGGGAGAAAAGAGGGGAGGAGTGGGGGAGAGGAAGGGAAAGTTGGGGAGGAGACAGGGTGGATTTGATTTAAATCGAGTTGATTTAAATCACAATTTAAATCATGATTTAAATCACTAGTAAAAAGGCTTGATTTAAATCAACTCGATTTAAATCATAATTTTTAAAGAGCAACTGTCATCTCTGCTACTCCTTTGACCCACTGTTGACTCACCGATAGTCCCAGTGTTGCAGAATATACAGCCTCATGCTACATAACTAAACTCCATTTCATGCTGAATAAACTAAATGATTTATGTATCTTAAATAGAAAACTATCTTACGATAGATTTTTACCCCAAAAGTTTTTTATTAAAATAAATCCGATTTAAATAAAAAAAATCCGATTTAAATCAAAAAAATGTTTTTTTAAAAAACTTTTAAAAAATCATTGATTTTTATCCGCCCTGGGAGGAGAGGAGAGGAGGAAGAAGAAGGTAGAAGAAGAGAGGAAGGGAGAGAGGAGAAAGAAAGAAGAAGGAGAAGGTTTGTTGTGAAAAGAGGGAAAAGAGAGGGTAGAAGAGCAACCCCAAATGTAATTAAAATGTCTTATTTTAATGCTTTCATTAGGAAAAAATATGTATGTGTATGTATATATATATATATATATATATATAAATCGATTATAGATAAGAGAATGTACATTTACAATATGTGTGTAAGAAATAAAAATAAAAAACTTTTTTTTAAAAAAAGAAAAAAAAGAAAAGAAGCCTCAAACAGAGCTTCAGAGGCTTTTTTTTCTGAAGCTCTGTTTCGGAGACTTTCAGAGGCAGGAAAAAAAGTTTTTTCTGAAACAGAGTTTCAGAAATTTCAGAGGCAGAAAAAAAAAAAAAGCACGGCACAGAGCTCACAACCAAGGAACCTGTTGCTAAAATTCACCTCTGGGAACAGCTAATTGGGGGTATTCCAGGAGGCCGATCCATCTGCCAATAAGCTTTTTTCTTATTTTCCTCCCCAAAAACTAAGGTGCATTTTATACTCCGGTGCATCTTATAGTCAGAAAAATACGGTAATTTTCATGCAGAACACCAGGTGGCACCATAAACCAACAGGATACTGTACAGAGAAACTGCAGTGCAGAAAATTGGCCACAGGCGGCAATCGCAAAGTGTTTAACTTTTACTTTCTTTGTCTTATTAAAGTTGTAGGCCATGCTGGCAAGCTGGTGTTTGGAAACTTGAGTGGGACGCCGACTGTGGTGATGCAAGGGCGCTTCCATATGTATGAAGGCTACCCACTGTGGAAGGTGAATCTCCACTCCATTTTTAATAGCATAGAATTCTTTATTGGCCAAGCGTGATTGGACACACAAGGAATTTGTCTTGGTGCATATGCTCTCAGTGTACATAAAAAGAAAAGATACATTTGTCAAGAATCATAAGGTACAACACTTAATGATAGTCATAGGGTACAAATAAGCAATCAGGAAACAATATCAATATAAATCGCAAGGATATAAGCAACAAGGTTACAGTCATGAAGTCACAAGTGGGAGGAGATGGGAGACAGGAATGATGAGAAGACCAATAGCAATAGCAATGCAGCCTAATATGAATGGCCTGACAGTGTTGAGGGAATTATCTGCTTAGCAGAGTGATGGCATTCAGGGAAAAACTGTTCTTGTATCTAGTTGTCTTGGTGTGCAGTGCTCCAGAGCGTCATTTTGAGGGTAAGAATCGAAACAATTTATATCCAGGATGCAAGGGTCTGTAAATATTTCATAGCCCTCTTTTTGACTCATGCAGTATACAGGTCCTCAATGGAATGTGTTAAGGAATTCGCAGAGTAACCCTTGAGTAGCAAGGGTGTGCACATGAAAACGATTAGAGAGTGAGAGTAGTTACGAATAAACATAGTCAACACACAGATACACTGAGTTGTGTTTACTTTCAGGAAATAGTAAGGCACAGTCCAATAAACAGTTGAGGTCATACACATATAAAGAGATAGCCAAAACGACAGTCCAGGGATAATCCAATAACAAAGTCTTCTTACCAGTCGTCGTAGTCATTCACAATAAACAGTTCTTCTGGATTTGCAAACAGTAGCATACAGAGATATCAGAGAGCAAGAATAGCAAAGAAAACAAACCATGTTTCTAGCTCCCTCTTAAGGACATTGGCTACAGAGCTAACCAATCAAGACACAGTATGATGCAATACAGCAGTTTTAAAGCTACATTGATGGTTTATATATTGCCAACCCAACAAGTTAGGTAATAGTCATTTCCTAACAGAAGGCAGGTTGGTAGTAATTGTTTTGTCTGCAGTTCTAATTATCCTCTGAAGTCTGTGTCTGTCTTGTTGGGTTGCAGAACCAAACTAGACAGTTATAGAGGTGCAGATGACAGACTCAATAGTTCCTCTGAACTGGATCAGCAGCTCCTTAGGCAGTTTGAGCTTCCTGAGTTGCCACAGAAAGAACATTCTTTGTTGTACTTTTTTGATGACGTTTTTGATGTTAGGTGTCCATTTTAGGTCTTCAGATATGATAGAACCTAGAAATTTGAAGGTCTCTATTGTTGATCCTGTGTTGTCTAGTATTGTAAGAGGTGATAGTATGGGAAAGTTTCTCCTAAAATCTACCAACATTTTTACGGTTTTGAGTGAGTTCAGTTCCAGGTTGTTCCAGTTGCATTCAATTTCAAAACTAAGATGTTGATCCAGTCGTAATTTGAGAAACTGTGGAAAACCAGTGAAATAAAATGAAAGGACCAAGTGTCTCTGAGCACACTCAAAGATACATTTCAGCACTATGAGTCCAAAATTTTTTAAAATATGCAAAAGGAAGTTTCCATGGTGAATTTAGGCCAGGCCCATTCTCTCAGCTAATTTCCTTCAAAGGGACTACCCTGTTTCTCCCAAAATAAGAAATCCCCTGATAATAAGCCCAATTGGGCTTTTGAGTGCATGACAATAAGGCCAAGCGCTTATTTCAAGGTTCAAAAAAATATAAGACAGGGTCTTATTTTCAGGGAAACATGGTAGCTTGCGGTTCCTTTGCTTCCTCCATCTACCTCACTTTCCTTGGAACTCCACAGAAAACATACAGTTCTGAAGCTGATTCCCAATATTATTTGTGAATTAGTCACATCATAAACATTCTGCTTCCACCTTCTAAGATGGATGGTATCATATGCTGTGAAAGCTATGAATATTGTTCCTGTTACATTGCCCTGAAGAGCTGATATTGTTATCTCAGTGGTCAGGAAAGGACAGAGACAGATTACTGATTTTTTTTTAAAAAAAATTAAAAAGTTTTTTATTAATCATTCAAAATTAAGAACATTGGACATAGATATGACATCACTAGTTTTAAATATCTTTCAACACTTTAAACTAATACAAATTATGTTAAAGTTAATATAATATAATTCTTTAACCTTATACGTTATTTATACATAACATCATACGAACTATATCATATTTCTACACAATTATACATACTTGTCTATTAATCTATACCTGTACCTATTTATTGCATAGATTACTGAATTTTTGAAAGCAGAAAGTTTAGGTCAGGGGTGTCAAACTGGATTTCTTCGAGGGTAGTTTTTGGCCTGGATGGCCTCCTACAGCACCTTGCTGGCAAAAACAGGGCATGGGGAGCTGTGCACAGCCCACGCTGCGGCCTGTTTTCGGCCTCAACGGCCTCCTGCTGGCCAAAATGGGGCATGGGGGTTCCCACATGCGGCCCTAGTGCCCCGTTTTGGCTGGCAGAGTGCTGCAGGAGGCCATCCAGGCTGAAAACATGGCACGGGTGGGGGGAGGGGCGCGTGTGGCCCCCTCTCCTGGGCCCCATTTTTGTTAGCAGAGGCACTGCTGGCCGGTCCTTTGCTATTTCCACAGCCAGATCTAAACAGGAAAGAGGCTATGGACAATCGCAGGCAAATTTGGACAGATGGATCCCTTGCTTTGCTTAGAACACATTAGAAAACTGGCGCTAGCTTCCGGTAATCCTGCCCCTCACTCCATGCCACGGTGCCCCTTCAAGATCTTTCCTTTGCTTTCTCCTTTCAGGTGACCTTCCCAGTTCGGATCTTCCATCTTCTTGGCGTTGAAACCCTGATTGTCACCAATGCGGCTGGGGGGCTCAATCCTGCCTTCAAAGTGGGGGACATCATGGTGATCCAGGACCACATCAACATACCTGGGTTTTCCGGGCAGAACCCTTTGATGGGACCGAACGATGAGAGGTAACGCGGGCTTCTCCCTTCTTTTGCATTCTCTTTCTTGCCTGCTCACTGAACCACCACAAGAGAGAAAACAGTTTCTTTACGGCTCTTAAGAGACTGGAAGCAGTCTCTTAATTTGGACTACGGATAGCCCTTGACTTACATCCACAGTTGGGACCAGAATTTCTGTCCCTGTAGTGGAACGTAGCCTGGAATCCAAGAAGAGTAGTGGGCAGCTTCCAGGTAGGCAATGAGACAGTGGAGGTTGAAATGTCTATTAGACAGGAAGAGGGCTAAGGGGGCCCCCTACCAGTTCATAGAATAGAATAGAATAGAATAGAATAGAATAGAATAGAATAGAATAGAATAGAATAGAATAGAATAGAATAGAATTCTTTATTGTCCAAGTGTGATTGTCTTGGTGCATACCCTCTCAGTGTACATAAAAGAAAAGATAGTTTCATCAAGAATCATAAGGTACAACACTTAATGATAGTCATAGGGTACAAATAAGCAATCAGGAAACAATATTATTTTAATTTTAAATGTTTTTATAATGGTTTTTTAAATATATTGTAAGCCGCCCTGAGTCTCCGGAGAAAGGCGGCATATAAATTGGACTAAATAAATTGGACTAAATAAATATCAATATAAATTGTAAGGATACAAGCAACAAAGTTACAGTCATACAGTCATAAGTGGAAGGAGATGGGTGGTGGGAATGATGAGAAGATTAATAGTAGTGGGTGTGAAACTTGCCGCTCACGTTGCTGTCACGTGACGTATCACAAAGTTTTTTTCCCCTTCACGGAGCTGAGGTGGGCGTGGCCTGTGCCGTGAGGGCCATATATTCAGCTCAGTGTCCACGACTGTCTTCCCAGCTTTTATGAACATTTCTGATTTAAACAGAACAACGGGCTATTTTTTCAAATGCAAAGAAAGGAACACAACCCCAATGACTCCTTTTTGCGTTGATTTCCGCAGGTTCGGCGTCCGCTTTCCAGCCATGTCGGATGCCTACAATGAAGACTTGAGAAAACTGGCTGTCACGGTGGCTTCTGAAATTGGGTGTTCCGGCTGCATGAGAGAGGGGGTATACTGTGCCCTGGGAGGCCCCAATTACGAGACCATCGCTGAATGCCGCCTCCTGCAGAAACTGGGTGTTGATGCTGTCGGTCAGTCAAGGACAGAGATAAGGGGAAATGTTCCTCCTGGGGCATAGATAAAACCTAGTCTTCCTCTGGTTATTTTTTTTTAGACAAAACTACAGGTAGTCCTCGCCTTACGACCACAATTAACCCCAAAATTTATGTTGCTAAATGAAACAATTTTTAAGTGAGTTTTGCCCCCATTTTACCACTGTCCTTCCCACTACTGTTAAGTGAATCATTGCAGTTGTTAAGTTGGTAATATGGTTGTTCAGCAAATCTGGCTTCCCCATTGACTGTGCTTGTCAGAAGGTTGCAAAAGCTGATCCGTATGATCCCTCCTGGGCACTGCAACCCTCAGAAATATTCAGTTGCCAAGCATCAGAATTTTGATCCTGTGACCATGGGATGCTGCAATGGTCATAAGGGTGAAAAACGATCATAGGTTACTTTTTTCAGTGCTGTTGTAACTTCGAATGGTCACTAAATGAATGGTTGTAAATTGAGGACTATCTGTAAGAAAATAATAAAGGTAGGATCTAAATAAAATAAGGAGTGGAGTGGAATGGAGAGTGGAGTGAAGTGGAGTAGAGTAGAGTAGATTAGAGTTAGAATAGAATAGAATAGAATAGAATAGAATAGAATAGAATAGAATAGAATAGAACAGAAGAACAGAACAGAACAGAACAGAATAGAATAGAATAGAATAGAATAGAATAGAATAACAGAGTTGGAAGGGACCTTGGAGGTCTTCTAGTCCAACCCCCTGCTGAGGCAGGAAATCCTATACCGGTGATGGCGAACCTTTTAGACACCAAGTGCCCAAACTGCACGCACGTACATGCCCAAACTCATGCCCAGACATGAGCAGACATGAGCACACACATGTGCAAATGTGCGCATGCACAGACATGCACGCATGAGCAACAGAGACCCAAAGACCAGCTGGCCAGTGGGAGGCGGGGCATCTCAACACTGGCAGCGCAGCAAGAGGTAAGATCTTTTTCTTTTGTGAGCTTCTGTTTCATCGTTTGCAGGGAAACAGAAGCTCACGAAAGAAATGCTATGGAGATCTGACCTGGGGCGATGGTGAGCGTGCCAGCAGAGAAGGCTCTGTGTGCCATGTCTGGCACGCATGCCATAGGTTCACCATCACGGTCCTATACGATTTCAGACAAATGGTTATCTAATTACTCCTTTAAAAACTTCCAGTGTTGGAGCATTTACAACTTCTGGAGGCAAGTTGTTCCACTGATTAATTGTTCTAACTGTCAGGAAATCTCTCCTTAGTTCTAGGTTGCTTTCCCCCTTGATTGATTTTTTTTCCATGGACAGTATTGTCCTCCTTCTCCAGTTTTGTGGAGTGTTAAGAGAGCTATGTCCCCACCCTTCCTGATCCTCCTGAACCCGTTCCTCTAATGCTTTCCCTCTTTCTTTCCCTTTTTCAGGCATGAGCACAGTCCCTGAGGTCATTGTGGCCCGTCACTGCGGCCTCCGAGTTTTTGGCTTCTCCCTCATCACCAACAAAGCCATTCTGGACTATGACACCAAAGAGAAGGCCAACCACGAGGAAGTCTTGGAAGCCAGCCGCCAAAGCGCCCGCACCCTTGAGAAGCTGGTCGCCATGATGGTGGAGCGCATCGAACCCAACAACAACCTAGCCTAGGGCCCATCCAGCTCATGATTGTCCGAGAGAGAATATGCTTCTTCTTATTAAATCCTGCTGCAAAGATTCCTACTCTGGGATGGTGCAGACATTTTGGTCTGGGAAGTTGCCGAGAGTGGAATTAACGCACTTCTAATCCTGCCTACTTGTCCGCCTCTGACCAAGAAGCCCATTTTTGTCTGTCTGTTTTTGTCCTTCGGTGTGTTGCTTCTCCATGCGGGTAGCTCATGTCCCTTCCATCTCATCTGTTCTTTGTAAAACTCCTCCAGAATCCCCGTAGTCACCTCATGTGGACCTGTTTTACTTTAAAATGGGGGATGTGTGAGGAAACTAGAAGTCCTTTCTCATTTCAAAATAGTCTTTTAAGGTGCCATTTTGTTTCTGGTTACAGGTTTGGGTTCAGTTTTCTGAATCCTACCATCGTTGTTGACCACCAAATTCCAATCTGATAGATGTTTGGGTCTTCTCCGGTGCTTGGGCATTTTGAACAGAAAGTCTTAACTGTTATGCAATAACTTGTCTGGCCTCTCATGTTTCCAATACTTGAAATGTTATTCATGGCTTCTCCTTCCAAGTTTCCTTTGGTCCTTGAGGTTATCTGTTGAAGCTGCGTATTAATATCTTGAATTAATTTATTTCCAACTGTGCTTGTGCTCCAAAGAAGCTACTGAATTGCTCAGAACTTGAATCCATCATCTTCAGGCAATAAGCCGGCGAGATCACATATTCACAAAATGTAGATGACGGTGATAAGTGAATGTCAGGATCTATGTCAAATTTAACCCACCTGAATGCACCTCCATAGCAACTAGAATAAAAGACCCTCCTGCATATAAAAATTCATCCAGGTGACAGTTGTCGCAAAGGTGTTTTTTCAAGAGGCAACTGGACTTTCTTTTTCCTTGAAGACATTTCAGTTCAGAACTGAAGAAGCTTCTTGGATGAGAAGTGAAAATGTCTTCAAGGAAAATCAAAGCCCAGTTTCCTCTTGAAAAAGCATTTTTGGGGCTCTTGTAAGGCGAAATCTGTAAAAAGTGGATGGCCTACTCGGTTGTGTCTCATTTTCTATATGACCATAGTCACATGTTCTTGTTTAAGGGAAAGTAGGTATCCTTTTTTCTGATTTAAGAAGTTTTTTCTGTTGCAGTGGCCTATTACTTTCCCAAATTTGCTACATTCTGGGATGAATAGACTCATTAGGGACAAAGATGTTGGAGAGGAGATCTACTGATGTGAAAGTTTGTGGCTCAGATTTTTGCCAAGACAGATGTGTATACCATAGGGAACCAATTGTGAAGTAGTTCTAGTGTGTTCTCATATTTTCCATAATGTGCAAAACCTATCAGGTGGATTTTTTGCGAGAGAGAGAGAGAAAGAGAGAGAAGTCAATTGCAGCTTCAGATCTGCATATGCAATTTTCCTTTGAGGCATGGTTGCAAAGTCCAGCTGAAAAGCTTGGCTTGAAGGAGACCTTCCAGGCACCCCAATATAGTCAGTTAGTCTTTTCTGTTGCGTAAAGGTACGATTCCAAAATGCAGTTTTGATTTCTGCTGGTAAATCCTCTTTCTCCCCCATTCACCTTTCTGAATCCCTCTTTCCCTTTTCTCTCCGTTTGCCCTGGAGTCAGAAATAGGCTCTTGCCATCTTTCAAATCACACCGAGGAATCGAAGTAGAGGGAGTTGATGACGAATGGTGGCTCACTAAGCCTGAATGTTTCGAATTAGACATAGCGAATATATTTTTTTAGAGTGTCCGCAATCTGCACTTTTTATTTTATTTAGACTACTGTAATGGAGTTCCCCCCTTTTATTAATTGTAATGTAACTAAATAATAAAGTTAAGTTGGAATGAGAAAACGGTTGTGGTTTGTACCAATCCTTTATGGTAAGACGGTGAAGAAAGAGAGAAAACGGTTGTCAGATTTCCCGAGCAGTCTGTCTCCAGCTTTCCAAATTCCCAACATTTCAGTTCAAGGAAAAAAAAAAAGGGGGGGGGGGGGGGGGTGTACGTTTGTGTTTACTTGCCAGATTCCATGAACAGATAGTCCTCAACTTACAACCATTTGTTTAGTGACTGTTTGAAGTTACAACGGCATTGAAAAAAGAGACTTACGACCGCTTTTCATACTTGCAACCATTGCAGAATTCCCACAGTCATGTGATCAGATTTCGGACGCTTGTCATCTAGGTCGTATTTATGACAGTTGCAGTGTCCCAGGGTCATGTGATCACTTTTTGTGACCTCCTGACAAGCAAAGTCAATGCCAGATTCACTTATCAACTGTGGTAACAAAGGTTGTAAAATGGGGCTAAACTTAGCTGTCTGGCTGAGCTACATAAATTTTGCACTTAATTGTGGTCGTACAAGGACATCCTGTGTCTAAGAGCTTCAACCACTTTATCCTCTTCCCCTTCTTCAAATAAGGAATTAGTTCTTTCTGCAGGCTGTTGCACATTGGACAATAATTCAGAAATTGCCTCTCGCTTCCCTGAGGTTTTCCAATGGAGTTATTTATTTTCTAATCTTTTAACTTGAGAGATGCTAATCAGGACATAGATATGCATCAGGAACCAGTCTAGAGGGGGTCACCCAGGTAGGGTCACACCTTTCCTCCTTCAGATCCTGATTGATAGATGTTCTCCCCACCTGCTGGCTGGTGAGGCAGGAAGTTAAATAATGAAACCTTGTTTAGAAGTCTACAAAAGCTTACTCTTCAATCAGAACCCACCATTCAACCGAGACTTGATAGAGATCCGTGGGTTGGCAAGGGGAATTAACATTCTGTGCCATCTGACTCAGGGTGGAGAGTAGAGTTTTCTGAGATGCCTTCATACTACAATCCTCTGATTTGTGGCTAATAGCTTGGTTTGTCCAACCTGTGAAATCAAACCCTGGCTTATACAATAGCAATAGCACTTAGATGTATTGTCAGACCTGGAAGCCATCTTTTTTGCCTTGGAGCTGCAGGCCTGCCACATTTACTACTGTGGGGAACTGGGAGGGAGGATTGTATGGAGCAAGGGAGATATATAGTTATAATAACATTCCTTTCTCAGAGAATCAAGGACATCTTACCCTGCACCTGGAGGATTGCAACTGGGAGGCATCCTCAGTTGGGTTGGTGCTTTGATTGGGCCATGTGATGGACATGTGGGTGCTGGGCAGGGACTTGAACTTTCTTTTGGGTGGGGAAAACCTGGAAGCTTTCAGATTTGGGTTTTCCCAGATGTGCCAATATGACATCTCTAATAAAATGGAACTTTAAGGAAACTCAAGTCTCGGAGTCTTCTTTCGTTGGGGGTGTTACTTGGAACCCTGATATATATGCAGTGCTTTACAGCCCTCTCTAAGCGGTTTACAGAGTCAGCATCTTGCCCTCAACAATCTGGGTCCTCATTTTACCCACCTTGGAAGGATGGAAGGCTGAGTCAACCTTGAGCCCGTCAGGCTCGAACCGCTGGCAGAACAAGTCTGCAATACTGCATTCTCACCACTGCGCCACCACGGTTCCTATAAATCGTAATGGTTGCAGTTTCAAAGCTAAATGAGACCTACAACATCTTAACAGGGTCAGCTAAGCTCCAGAAAACCTCACCTGCCAGATTTGTCCCTGTTCTTCCCCTTTCTGAGAGCATGAACTCCATTAAATTGTTCCCTGGAATGATGAGACTTGCAAACTGAGCTCGAAGAAGCTTTCCTTGATGTAATGTTTGTTTATTAAATCAACAGACATGGCCATTCACTGACACGTGACTTAGGGCAGCATTCACAAATGAAAGCAATACATAATATTAAAAACAGAAGCAAAAAAAACAAAAACAAAACCCATGCCTGAGGAACTTCATCTAATACAAAATGATGAAGACAAAACCTCTCGATCTAGATCTAGGAAGAAAAATCTATCTGAAAGGCAGATAGAGTTGGGGCCATATGAATCTGGAGAATGCTGTTTCATAGGACAGGCAAACAATAGAGAAAGCATATCTCCTGGGTCCTGCCAGGTGTTAATGCTCAAATGACCAGACCCCAATTTTATTGGAAACGCAGAAATCATTGGAAACAAGCAGTTCCTCCAGCAACAAGATCTTGCCCTATGGAGGACTTTATAGGTCATAACTAGCAATTTAGGATTACACCCAGAAATCTCTTGATAACCTATGCACAAAGCAGTGGTGGGTTTCAAAATTTGTTACTACTGGTTCTGTGTGCATGGCATGGTGGCGTGGCAGGGGAAGGACACTGTAAAATCTCCATTTTCTCCCCACTCCAGAGGAAGGTTACTGCAAAATCCCCATTTCCTCCCGATTAGCTGGGATTCGGGAGGCAGAGAATAGATGGGGGCGGGGCCAGTCAGAGGTGGTATTTACCGGTTCTCCATACTACTCAAAATTTCTGCTACCGGTTCTCCAGAACTGATCAGAACCTGCTGAAACCCACCTCTGGCACAAAAGTACCCATAACTTCTTATATTGCTGGATTCTGGACCAGTTGTAGCTTCTGAGTCATTTTCAAGGTCAGCCTTGAAATGCAAGTTCCATATAGAGTGCATTGCAACAATCCACACACAAAAAATGACAAAGGAGTGTGAATTACCACGGGTATGGCTTCCAAATCCAGATAGAGTGCAATTAGCACACAAAACAGATCTGCAGAGATCTCTGAGCTTTGGCTTCTGTTTGCTCTTCAAGTAGGAGTTGTAAATCTAGGAGGATCTCCCAAAATGTACCCTGGTTTCTCTATGGTTGTATCAGCCCAAAGTGACCCAAAGATGGAAATTCCCTGGATCTATGTACCCCCAAAATACACAATCACTTGATCTTATGAATGTTGAGCTTCAGGCTTAGTTTTTTCCCATCCAGCTCTCCATACCTTCCAAAAACAAACAAACAAAAAAAGATTGCAGTGGCATCACTTGGACAGTTGAGTTCAGAAGTATAAGTCCATGTCAGTGGATGACTTCACCCAGTAGATGTTCAAAGGGAGTTGATAAAGAATCAAGTCCTAAGTACATCCAGAGCAGGGGCTGAAGGATGGATTTCTCCCATCAAGATCAATTGCAACCAACTTTGCAAGAATGAGGAGAACCATGGTGGGAGCACTGTGCCTCCTACTCTTAAACCATTCCAGAAGGATACCATAATTGATATCAAATATTCAAAAAACAACCAGGATGTTGCTATGTAGGTAATCTACAACAGTGCTAAATACTCTTTTGATACTGTCTCATTGTGTGAAGTCCAATTGAAAGAGGTCCTGATAGGCTCCTCCAAAGACCTCTGAAGCTGCAGGCCATCTACCTTGTTTTTCCCAGAAAGGAAATGTTGAGGATGGTTTGGAAATTATCCAAAATCCTAGTGTGAGAAGAGAAATATATCCATTGGAAAGTGCAGGTAATAAGCTCTAGGATTGGGCTTGCAGGCCTCACTGAACTGAAGTTTTAAACTAACATAATTGCAAAATGTACCAGACATATTTCTAATGTGCTGACTTGTGTGTTGCATTTCCTGGAAAGTATGCACTTGTACGGATATATTTAGAGCAGGAAGAATGAGACGGTGGGAAATGAGGAACTGAAAGTAACAAATGGCTGAGAGCTTCAAATGTACACAGGTGTTGCAGAGAGTGACAGTCAGTAAGAATGTAAGAAAGAACAAGGAAGTGAAACTATGTCAGTAAAAAAGAAGGTATAAGAAATGTGGCTTGAGATGGGAATGGCATCCTTTGCCTAATAACAGTCCTTGTAGGACCTGCTATGTTGGCTATTCATGTTCCAAATTGCTCATGAAATGAACCTCTGAATCTTAAAGTAAGATTTATTGCTTGTGGTTTCCTCTTTGGGTTTTTTATTGGGATATTTTTATCCCAATAAAAATATTTTTTTATACACTAGGATCGTAACCATTTCTTGAGAAAAGGGTAGATCATTACTTCCTTAAGCAGAGACTGATCTTGTGGACCACCAGCAGCCTGCGGAGCTGGCAGCGGAGTCGGACAGTGAGGAGGCTGAGGAAGAACATGGGTGAGTCCTGGAGGCTGGGGAAGGCCCGGATGAGGGCTCTGTGTCGGAGGCAGAGATGGGGCCAGGGCCACTTGGGAGTGATGTGCGGACTCCGGAGCCTCCAGAGGCTGACAGCAGAGAGGCAGAGGAACAGGAGGAGCCTGTTCTTAGTGCACGCATGAGAAGAGCTGCCAGAAGGCAAGAGCAGCTAAAGCAAAAAGGACGACTCAGGAGTAAGGCCAAGAGATGATTGGCCCCTCCCATAAGGCTTAAAAGACCAGCAACAACTCTTGGGCTCTTTGTCGGAAAACAACGTTGATAGATTTGTTTCTTGTCTTGCTGCATTTATTTCTTGTCGGTGTCTTCTGCTTCTGAACTTTTGCAAGAAAAGCCTTTGGCAGGTTGTCAAAGTAGACCAAGGTTGGTGATAAGGCTGAAGAATTGTGTTATGAAGAATTTGTTTTGAATTAGTTTGGACTACGCTGAGAATGAGTTAATTCTCAGCTGTTCTAATAAAATCTGTTTGTTTTCGAACTGTTTGCGTCTAATACTACCTACTTGGGCCTAGGTCACAACTGAAGCCTTGACCAACCAAGACGGACATAGATCTAATAAGCATTGTCATTGCTTATTACTGACATCTCTGAGAACCACAGCCAGAGTCTATTTCTTACTAGATCAAGTATTTCCTACTGAAATACTGAAATATTCAGAATTTCTTACTGAATCAGCTCAACTCAATCTCCCCAGTTGGGGTTCAACTCAGACCAAACTTAAGTGCCTCTCAACCGACATCTTACTCACAGTAACCCTAAGCATAGTTTACTGATTAATCCACACTTGGGTTATGCATAACTA